GGATTCAGCCGCCATTGTTGTTTTCGCCACTGCCGTCTTCACCTTCCGTTACTGCTGCCAACACTCCTAGCACGGAACCAGGAGGTGGGTGCCCCCTGCCACCTAGGGCAGGTACCCATTTATCTACTCGTTTATTTACCTTTCGAACCGCTGGGTTGGCGGGAGCTGGGACGGGGGCCGGGAGCTCACTCCGGCCGTGGTGGGGAATCGAACAGCCATTGGGGCTGTTCGCTACAGATGTTACAGCAGGCGTTGTATTACCTGCGCCACCGCTCCCTTTATGTTTTAAATTTTAATATTATGTTATTAACAATTTTTATATATATAAATGGTGTTGCTACCCCCCCTGAGGCCACGTCTGGGAAGGGCAGGCTATAAATGTGAATAAATTTATTTATTTATTATATTGGACTTTTATACCACCCTCCTTGTGAGCAGGCTCAGGGCAATGCACAATAATTATCCATAAAAATACATATAAAATCCAATAAGTGATTTAAAATACTATCCTATAAATACCTAGTGCACATATGATGCTATAATGCCATTCTGTCCCCCCCAATTTACTTTACATTCGCGGGGAGGTGGTGGTGAAGGCAGTTAGTGGACCGGATAGTTGTTGAAGACTGTCAGACCATTAGACCATTGATGTAAATAGCCATTGATGTTAAAACTGTTGCTGTCCTCAACCGTATGCTTGGCAGAACATCTCTGCCTTACAGGCCCTGCGGAATTGTAACAGATCCCACAGGGCCCTGATGTTAATAGGCAGAGAGTTTCATCAAGTTGGAGCTGCCAGTTTGCATGCCAAGCTTTAGCAGGTGAAGTTTTTCTGGGCATGAAGTGATAGTGTATTAGGCAACTGTTGAAAGACAAATGCTGAGCCAGTTTGAAACTGGCAACCATGCCTGGGAAACATTTGAAGCAGTACTTAATTTATTCAGTTTTTGTTGCAAAAGCCTAAATGTTTAGAATTCCTACACTGGTCCTACATCCCCCACACCAAGACATTTGATAAAAGACAGGGCTGCTTTTTATTGGCCTGCTCCTAGGTCTTTCATGGCAATCAAATACACAGAAATTTAGCCAGGGAAGCTTTTTTCCTGGCATAGGGAGAATATGGGAAAAGCTGCATCTGCTTTCTTAGACCAGGCTGCTATGATCACCACACCATGTATATATATCTATGGCTCCCATCTGCAGATATCTAAATCTGCAGGTTGGGGCCACACAGATACTAAGCAGATTTTTCCATGAACTTGGGGGAGCCTGCAGGTTTACAGAGAAATTTGAAATCACAAAATAATACATGGGGGGGGGTAAATTTCCCCCAAAATAAAATTTACCTGTAGTGATCTGAGCAGCCACTCAGAAAACTACTTTGAACTCAGCTGCTGCTGCAGCAGAAGATGCCAGGAACCTCTCCAGGTGCACCTGCGGTGGCAGAAGACTCTGGGAAGCTCTCTGGTCTCAACCATGATGGCATTGGCATTCAGGAGACCTTCTAGTCTTGGTTGTGGTGGTGCCAGTGTCTGGAAGGCTCTTTGGGCCCAACCACAGCCATGCCAGTGTCTGAGAGGCTCTGCAGTCACAGCAGTGGTGGCACCCATGTGGTTCTCCACTCCCAGATAAGCTCCCAGATTCTGCTGCTACAGCCGGGCCCGGAGGGCTGGTGCTGTGCCTGGCTTGGTGATAGGGAAGCTGCTCTAGGCCAAGAGCAGCTTCATAACAATGCAGCTACCATGGCTAATAAGGGAAGAAGGAGGGGGAAGAAAGATGGGGAGAGTATTGACAAAAAGGAGAGGGGGTAGAAAGAGGAGGGATTGTTCAGAGAAGGAAGGGGAGAATTAAAGGGAGACAGTGTATGTTGACAGAGAAAGGGAGGGGGATATTTATTGAGCAGGGATGGGGCAAAAGACAGAGGGGGTAAGTTGACAGATAAGGGGAGGGGGAGGTTGATGGAGAAGAGGTGGGAGCAAAAGAGAGAGGGGTCTAGGTTGACAGATAAGGTGAGAGGGAGAAAGAAGGGGAAGAAATAGAGAGAGTACATTGATAGAGAATGGGGGTAGATTAATGGAGAAGGGGGGCAAAAGAGAGAGTGAGTAGGTTGACAGGTAAGGGGGAAGAAAGAGCAGCAAAAATCTGAGAATGGGGAGAAATAGAATGGGGGTAGGTTGATAGAGAAGGGGAAAGGGAAGAGCAGGGGGGAGAGGGAAGGAACAAAGGGGGGTGGCACCCTTCCCGCAGGTTTCTTGTGATTCCCCTTGTTGAATATTCTAATACCTAAGTAGGTCAGATATGAGGATACTTAAATTCAGTGTTTGGAGCCATGAATTGACAAGACTGATCTCCGTACAAACCTGAAAAATGCCCCAGGTTTGCAGAAAAATCTGACATCTAAAGAATACATTGGGGATTTAAAAAACACAAACAAAAATGACAAAAGGAATGCCTCTACCTTTTTAAAAAACAGAAGCCCTTAGTGGCAGTTGCTAGGCAAACACAGCATTTTAGGCTTGATTTCTCTGATTAAAAGGCAGGGGGAGGGGGCAGGGCCCTTTCCAGGGCTATTTTAGCCTTTGAGGAAGGACTCATTGGGGCCAGGCCTGGCAGCAACCTCCACAGCAATCACTGGGTGATATGATGCCACCCCACTTGCATGACTCAGCTGCCAGCTGCTTGCTACTATTCAGCAGCAGCCACCCTATGAAAGCCAGTGGGTGTATCAGTTAGACTAGAGACTCAGGTTCAAATAACCATGCAGTGGAAGCTCACTAGGTGATGTTGAGCCAATCACATACTTTCAAAATAATCTCCCTCACAGGATTGTTGTGAGGATAAGAAGGTGGAAAGAATGATGCAAGCGGCTTTGGTTTCCCACTGTGGAGAAAGGTGGAGTACAAATGAAGTGAATAAATAGTAAATATAGTTGAAGATGAGAGGCAGATAAAAGGCAGATTGGTGAATGGTTGAGAAGGAGTGAATGAGAAGAGAGGATATCGGGTTGCCAGGAAGAAGGAAAGGGGAAATTAGGTAGGGGAAAGGATACAGGGGGAAATTATTTCTCCACTCCCACAAGTTCTTAAGGGTTCTCCACCAGGAAAGGGGGGCTGGCTCAGCAACCAGTACCACACAACTGGGCCATAGTTTTCCTAGACAGAGGCTGCTGCGGGGCACGCTAAAAACAGGTCAGATAAAGCAGGTTGGCTGTTGGGTGGGAAGGAGAGAAGAAAGTGGGAAAAGGGGAGAGGCTATGGGGCTGTCAGGAAAACGAAAGAGGAAATAGGGGAAGGGGAAATCAGACGCCCTCCACAAGTCCTGGTGGGTTCCCATTTGTAGAAAGTGTAAAAAGCTAGACAAGCATAGATGTTGACAGCCCCTATAATAAGGCAGAGACATTTATAGACCTATTTTTACATTAATGCTTGGAGAGGTTTTGTGTTGTCTGTCTAAGGCCATGGACATCAAAGGCTAGATATTCCAAAGGACTTTGTTGTCAGACATGGAATATTTTAGGATAGGAGATAAAGACTTTTCTAGGATAGGAGATAAAGACTTTTCATTATGTAAACCCCAGTTATGAGTTCCATATCAGATTTTGAAGGGCATTAAGCATGTAGCTGATGCCATTATGTCAGCTGACGCTAGAACTCAGCATGCTTCTAGGATAGGAGATAAAGACTTTTTATTATGTAAACCCCAGTTATGAGTTCCATACAATTCTGAAACCTGCCCATGTGAGATAATCTCTTTTAAGAGGCAAAAAACAATGGATTGGGAATCCTCATAAGGGTATAGTATTGGAGGTCCCTCTGAATTTCAAGCTTTAGATAGCAACAGTCTCTTCTGCCTTACAACCATGAATGGCAGAGCAGTAGCTGTGCTACAGCAAAAGCTTCAACAGTATTTCTTTCATACTTCAGATTTTTTTTCTTGTAGTACTCAGGGTGACATATGCAGGTGCCCAGGAGCTCTGCCATCTGGGCACAGACCGGATCTAAGCTGGTTTACCTCTGGCAAGGTTACTGTCTCCATCCCTGCGAACAAAAAGGATCGTGTGACACTTTAAAAGTCCTGTTTAATTGTGATATTAGCTTTTGTGAATTAAAGTCAGCTTTGCCAGAAGGAAGAAGTAAAACCTTGGAAAACAGATGGGATATGAGTCGAAGAGGGCCAAGCTGATACACATCTAAATGAATTTGTGTAAACTATCTCAGTGCATTATTATCATGTGCCCTCAAACCTTTGGATGCTGCTTTGGTTCAGTTCAAAAACAATCATCAGCCCCTGAATCTTTACCTGCAATCATTAACTAACATCAGAATCATACCATTTGGCATGACTGAATTCATCCTTAGTTTCGCTTCTGTGACACCTGTCGATCCCTAGGCCACTTCAGATAAATTGTGCTCCAAACCATGGATGCTTATTCCACAATAAATCTGTTAGTCTTTAAGGTGCTTTGAGGCTCTATGCTGTTTCTGTTACCAATTATGTTCTCAATGTGCTTTGCGTGAGGACAATCACTAAAAGCTCTCTAGTTGTGATGGAGTTTCTTCTTTAAGTAATAGCCTTTTTATTGCTTTGTGCATCCAGAGGAAAACACAATCCCAGTAATGAAATGGATATCTGATGTGCTGGTTAGATGTTGCTTTTTGCTCACCTGGAGTGAGGAAAAGTTCATGCTGGTCCAGGCACACTTCATTTGTTTCATCCTTTCCCCACAGGGTGCAAGCTATACACAGTAGGCTACTACCTGCTAGAATAAATTTCTCATTTGGAAACATTTTATGCTGTCTGAGCGACAGGGACTCCTACAGAATTCAGAGAAGATGGTAAGAAGGTGAAGGAAGGTTACAGCCTTATGACAAGTATGGAATGCAGTTGGTTGTCTGTCAGTCAGAATGGTCTAGTTATCCTAAAAAATGCAACACAAAATGGAGGTGAATGTGTGTCTTTAAAAAGCAGCATGACCTGCTCAACACTTCAAGCATAAAAAATCCAAACACTGTAAATGATTAAAGATAAGGCAATCATGATATAGATTTATCTCAATTTGTCCTTCTATATCCGAACCATTAAAGGAACTGAAGAAACAAGTTGCCCTTTACAAGTGTAGAAACCCTGATGATGATGATGACGATGATGAGAAACTTTTTTCAAAAGCTGGGGAGAAAACTCTGCAGGGATTAGGTCAGAAATTTGCTCCAAAATGATTTTAGAGTGGCAGGGGAAATCTACTGACAGAGTACTTAAAGTACTCCTGTCATTTTAGGTCTAGTGAAGATAACAGGACCCAGGCCAATTCTTCTTTTAAGCAGGTGTCTTATTAAAATAAATTAGAAAATTTCAATTAAAATCAAGCCTCCTCGCTTTCCTGGAACTTCACTGTCTGGTGCTGCAATGCTGAAGTGGACATTTTTGTTCATGCCTGGCTGTCCTGGAATGCTTTCAGATTGCTTGTGCTGGACCATAAAGAGCCCTGCTGGGAAAGAAGCTGCTCATCTGTTGTGCAGAATTACCTGTATAGTTCCTTTTCATAGTCAGTTGCATAAGTAGAATGGAGCAACAAGGGCTTTTGCCTGAGTACAGGAGATCAAGGTAGGCCTAAATTAATCAAGCAATATATTTGCAGTTATTAAAATATTAAATATGTGGCTTTCTTTAACATTTACAATGATTTATTATATTTTCAAAGAGGTCAATGAACTGATAGCAGCTTGCTGGAAGGCTTCTTTTTAGAGGTTTTGCTGGAAGCATGGTGTCCGTATCACTCCAGTCTTGGCCCATTCTGGTTCCAGGAAAAATACAAGGTGCTAGTGCTAACCTTTAAAGCTCTGCGTGGTTTGAGAACAACATATCTAAAGGTCTGCCTGCCTGACCACTATGGTCATCTTTGTAGAGCCTGTTTCAAGAGCCCCAAATTGCTTCAAGGCAGGTGGCAATTTGGGGGAAGCCTTCTCAGTCATGGCACCAAAACTGTGTGGTGCAATGACCAAATACATTCCATATTTGAGTTTTTGGTTAAAGATGAGAAATAATAGCTCAATAGGAAAACTCCACTGCTTGCTTGCTTGTAGAGTAGCAAAGGGAAATTCCTTCCTATGGTATGTAAATGAATGAACTCCACACCAGGCACCACAATTTAGAAAGGTTAGGTAATGGTAACTGATAACATTCTATCTTCACTTGTCAATTAGAGTAGAGTGATACGGAGAGCTTTAGGGAGTTACCTGCATGGTCAAGTGTCGATGGAAAGCAGATGACAGTATCATAACCATGCATGGGATAGAAAGGTATGGGATGTTAAACAAAGGAATGGACATCTGTGCATGCCAAAGAGCTGTTTGTGCACAATTATAAAAAGCTCGTAACTTCATTTGGTCTTGGAATTCAGGCTTTTGATGCTTGGATTCCTCTCTGTTCGAATAAAGTTTTCCTGCTCAGTTCAGATGCCTCACTGGTTGTGTTTCTGATTGGGACTAAATACACCAGGCAACTGCCCATTTGGCTTACAACTGGAATTTTTTCTACAAGGGACTTGTCTGTCCCTTTCTGTAGTCATCTTCTGCCAGTGGGTGAAGACATTTTTGTTTTGGTTGGTGTTCCTTCAGTGATCCTGCCCAATGTTTTACTTGTTGTTTTTTTATGTCTATGAATGTATTTTGGCTTTGGTTTAAATTGTTTCAAAGATGTGCTTTTGTAGGTTTAAATATTTTAAGGTGTGATTTTATTATGTATGTAGCCACCTTGGTGGCTCTAATGACAGTAGAAAGGTAGAGAATAAAGATAATTAAAATAATAAATTAATAAAGAAATGGTGTCAAAGAAATTCACTTTAGACCTAATCTATTCACAAGACTGTTCTCTATGTGGATGTTACAATGAGCTGATTGCCCCAAATCACCTTGTGAAGACCAGGAAGCATTCATATGAATTACCCCCTATCTCTGTGATTATTCAGGTGTACTGGCTGTCCTCCAGTGCATTCAATGAGTTGTACTCTATTTATACTAAATTACATAAGAACATAAGAGAAGCCAATGTTGGATCAGGCCAATGGCCCATCCAGTGCAACACTTTGTCACATAGTGGCCAAAAATACCAGGTGCCATCAGGAGGTCCAGCAGTGGGGCCAGGACACCAGAAGCCCTCTCATTGTTCCCACACACACACACGCACCAAGAATACAGTGCATCACTTGCCCCAGACTGAGAGTTCCTGTCTATACCTTGTAGCTAATGGGCACTGATGGACCTCTGCTCCATATGTTTATCTAATTCCCTCTTGAACCCGTTCATGCTTGTAGCTGCCGCCACCTCCTGTGGCAGTGAAATCCATGTGTTAATCACTCTTTGGGTGAAGAAATACTTCCTTTTATCTGTTCTAACCTGACTGCTCAGCAATTTCATTGAGTGCCCATGAGTTTCTTTTTATTCGGCCAGAAATCTTGTCATATTTCTTCAGTAACCCCTTTTCCCACCGTACATGAAAGATTTTTTAAAAATATTGTTATTTTTGTTAAGAAGAAGAAGAGGAGGAGGAGGAGATTGGATTTATACCCCACCCTTCACTCAAAGTCTCAGAGCAGCTGACAAAGTCCTTCCCCTCCCCACAACAGACACCCTGTGAGGTTGGTGGGGCTGAGAGAGCTCTTTTGAGAGCTGCTCTTCCAAGATTTTTGCCCCACTTCCCTTCCTCAGTGGAGCTCCTTATCCATGTGGCTTTTAGCCCACAGGGCTTCAACAGCCACAGTAATTAACTTACCTAGGATCAGAGAACTTGGGGAGGGGATCAGGGGAAATGTCAGCAATCCTTTCCCCATAGGTCACTGGAACCAACCCCTGATCTGCTCTTTTCTAAGCATATGTGTGTATACCACATTCCTTTAATAAAATATGTCCTGTTTAATTCCTTTTCTTGGTGGCCACATCTTCCTTCCCTACCACAAATGCTTAGATTAATGTGTATGGGCCTATATGGCTGCAGGTTCATATAATTAAGTATAAAGTTTTAAAAGTTGTAATTCAATCAAGCAGGTATACAGGCAAAAGCAGTTGCTGACACATAACCTCTGTTTCTATGTACGAACTCTTTAGTACTTATTTAGATATATTGTCTTGTATTGAGAGACCTGCAGTTAATATCCGGTGTGTGTGTGTGTGTTAGTGATATATTCTGAACTATGTTAATGAAAAACTGCTATATGTCGCAACTTCAGATCTTTCCAGCAGTTATTCTGCTCCTCCAGTACTGAAGAACGCCAAAGAATCTCACTTATATAAATGCAGCCTAAAGTAATTCATGCATTTTAATTAGCAAAGTCCACAGATAAGGATGAAACATTTGTCTTTCTTGGGCCAATCAGAGGAGTATCAGAGCCACAGGTAATACAACTTAAGTCTGGAGAGATACCATTCCGGTCTCCTAATCTAAACCTTAAATATCACTTCTGGAGACAGAAAGGAATGAATAAGAGGCTCTTGAACTCCAGTTGTAAGGATATTTCTGCTTGTTCTTAACAATACATTTGTTCTCAAACTGCAAAGTAACATCCTTTCTCCTCTCTATTCTTCCCAGGAAAATGTTTACTTCAATCATGTTTGCTGTCACATACATTTTAAATGACACGCTGATTGCCTGTTCCTGCAAGATGGTTATTTTACCTGCAGCCTTTTAAAATAACAGAACTTGAAGAGATGCTTATTTCACTTCTATTCTCTAAGCCATCAGGACAAATACATCAATCAAATGTTTTAAGGCAATCACGTATATACATACATTTAAAAACATATGCTCAAACATTCAGAAACTATGGAAAAACAAATATAAGTTTGGGTCCCAGTTTTCCTGGGAGAAGGGTAGGGTTATAAATGCTGTAAATAAATAAGTTGACAATAAACCTTGCTGTGAAGAATCAGTAGGACTTCTGTAAATGGAAACCCTGCCTCTCCAACTTTTTCGTCTCAACCAAGATGGGAGTGGGATAAATCAGTAGACATTGTATTCTAGGATTTCCAAGAAGCGTTTGCAAAGTCACTCACCAAAGCTTCCTGAGTACTCATGGAAAAAGAGGAAAGATCCTCTTATTACAATACCAACAGCAACCAAAAGGTAGGTTCAAAAATCCCCCTATTGTTTGTATGAAAAACAGACAGATGGCACCATGATTCTATCATACAAGCATCTGGTTGGTGTCAGCACTAATGGGTGAGATGGGGGGGGGATGTTATTCTTGGAATAGTTCCTCCTCCCCCATATGAAGATGATCCATACCATCAGATTAACATAGAATACCCAGGTGTGAATGCTTCAGAATTTACATCACTGCTGTTTGAATTGTAAAGCTTGCTTGATTCTTGGACATACTTAGAAGATTGATCTGTGAATACTGGTTTAGGTGAGTGACCCTTAGTGACTGGCTTGTGAGGTGCAGCAGGAAATGTTCTTACGAACTGAATGCCATGTGAAGCTTGGTAGGAAGTGCAGAAGGGGCTTGTGGGTAGAATAAGAACAAGTAGTCTGACTTTGAACTGAAGACTTGAGAAAGGGGGGGGGGACCAGTCAACACTGTCTGTGTCCCATAATATCGGAATGCCCACCTCAGGTATATGTAAAAGGACTGTGTGCTAAAGATCATTCTCAATCACTTTGGGAGTGCTAACTGAAGAACAAGTTGTGCTGCACTTCATATACATGAAATATGGAATCTTTCATAAGGAAACTTTGAAATTTAATCCCTTTGGTTGAATTGCAAAAAAAAAAAAAAAAGAAGTGTTACTGGGGCAGTTTGGGCACCAGTTAGAAGAAAGTAAGCATCCATTCTGATTTTTATGCCATCCAGATTCCCTTTTGCATGATTAGCCTTTCCTTTCTCCTGCCATCCTCTATCTCACACACATACAACTTCTTTGCCAAATTTGATTATTTATACTAAAGAGGTACTGTTTTTCACCTATAGCAGTCATAGCAGTGATGATGTACCGCTAGTTACATTTACGCACAAGGAATTAAAGGGTCTTGTGTTTTGTTGTTTGCTTTTGGAAAAGATTTAATTTTCGTGGACAACATTTTCGTATAATTAGTGAGTTGATTTATTTGTATTCTGTCAGCAGGCAAAAATGTTACTGAAGTTGTCAGCTTTCAGTTTTGTGTGGTAGGCTTTACGGGATCCTTGTTTGCTCATGGACCTCTCTGTCAACAGTGAAACTGGTGAGTCAATGCAAATTATGCATGCCAAGTAATGCACTGTTTTGTTTCACTTATCAGTAACTAACATACTTGTTGCAGATAAACAAGAGCAGCAAGGGACCCAACAATTCCTATCAGCATCTTTCACTACTATTGACTTTTTGTCCTGTTGCTAAGTTACAGCAATTTCAAGCTCCAACCATGGGGGGTTGCAAGTTATGTAAATGTATAATGAACTTCACCAGAGACCCCACATAGGTGTTCTGTAGGCTGCTAAAACACTGGGGTAGAACGTAGATTGTGAATGGCTGTGGGAGGCCTTCCGTGTGATGTTCTTGCTTAACAGGCAATTGTCATGCCTGAATCCCATGACAGAGAATCACTTCAAAATGCTAAATCTATTTACGAAACATGAGACTCATTAGCAATCAAACAGGACACTGCTGTTTTGATCCACCCAATGAGGTTAGATTGATGAGGCATTTTCATGCGTAAGAATGCAGGATTTTTTGGTGTGTGTTTTCAGTAATGTTAGATTAATATTAATCTTTATAAAGAACTAATTCACTTTGTAAGTAAATGTGCAGCCAAATGTTATCTTCTTTGTGCTGATGACCAGCTAGGGTGTGTCTGCAAAGGGGATTGGAGCAGGGAGTTTTGGTTTGGGACAACACATATTGGGCCTTCATGTCTACCATGTCCTTGTAGATATTTCCCTTTGCTGAGGGTGTTCATGTGAAGAGGCTTCAGATGGAGCCTGAACTGTACACTTTGATGTGCACACTAATGCCTGCATTGGTCTGTGGTAATATAATTAAAGCAAATACATGTATTTTCTTTGAGTATATCTAAGCATATATGGTTTATATCAGTTTCCATGCTTATGTTTTGCTAATTCGAAAAGGCTTCAGAAAATCTGCCTTCTGTAACAGCCTTGGTTGCTCTGTCTTGATGACACAATTCCCAGCTTTTCTGGGCTGCAATCCAACTCCGTTTCCAGCTACTTTCCTAGCAATAGATCCTGTGATCTACTGCTCTCCTCTCTTTCACTACGTTTGGCACTACTCTCAAATGCTGAGGTTATGATATGAAACCTCATGGATTCCTCAAATTTTAAATTGTTGGCATTGAAGTACCTCATACACCCTTCATACAAAAGCCACTTGGTTTCTTAGATGAATGAGTAATCTACATCAACTGCACATTAGAGGATTAAGTGCTGTTTTGCTGATATGTATTCAAGCTGCCCTTATGTGTGCATAATTTATTATTTATCTATATAATTATAACGTTTATTACTCCTCACAGCTGGATAGATGAGCATTTTTAACTGTCCTACTGCTACAGCAGAATGGTTATTTTAGCATAAATCTTGCATGCAAATTTGTATATACTGTTTATATCAATATATCTCATTCTCAGTGTAGCCCCATCTGGGGATACTTAAATCCAGAGATTGGGACCACAGTCAGATAAGACAGATATTTCTACAAACCTGAGAAATGCTCCAGATTTGCAAATGTAAAAAAAATCTGAAATCTAAAAGAGATACACTGGGTGGGAGGGTTTAAAACCCTAAAAATGCTATAACGAGTGTCTGTGCAATTTCCTACCTTACAACTTGCATGACTCAGACCTGCCGCTTGCTGCTGTTCATCACTAGCCACCCCATGAAAGCCAGTGTGGTGTAGTGGTTAGAGTTTCAGACTAGGATCTAGGAGACCCATGTTTGAATCACTACTGTGATTCAATGCTAGTTACACATTCTAAGCCAAACCTTCCTCATAGGGTTGGTGTGAGGATGAAATGAAAGATAGAAGACCAATGTAAGCTTCTTTGTGTCCCAATTGTGGAAAAAGGCAAGACATAAATGAAATAAATAAATAAATAATCAATTTAGCTGAAGATTGGGGACAGATTAGAAAGTGGGTGGGTGAGTGAAAAGGAGAGAAGATAGCAAGGAAGGTGATGGTATAGGGGCTGCCAGGAGGACAAAAAGAGGAAATAGTGTTTGGAGGAGATAGTGGGGAAAGGGAGTTACCCCCAAACACACACAAGTCTTTGCAGGCTCCCCACCATGCAACTGGTTCCAGGTCGGATGGCACTGTGCAGCTTGACCAGAGTTTTCCCAGGTAAAGGGAAAGATAGGTTGGCTGGGGGTTGGGAAGGAGAGCAGGAAAAAGGAGAGGCTATGAGTGCTTTCAGGGAAGGTGTTGTGGGTCAGCCAGGGCTCATTGACAGCAAGGACTCCTCAGAAGAGGAGCCTTGTGTAGCCAGCCTTGAATTAACAGAAGCTGACTGGCAGGAAAATGAGCTGCAGGCTTGTCAGGATTCACAGCCAACAGCTGGTGCAGAGCCACCAACACCCTCCAGCCCTGATTCAGCAGGTGGACCTCAGTTGGCCATTCTCAGCCTACCAGTATCACCTACACCCTTAGAATGCTGCAGACAGAGTCTGAGAATAGAGCTACAGACAAGACGGCAAAGTGTACGCCTCCTGGCCTGACACCAGTTGCTTCTTGCTGATAACAAAGATGAGTAGTTGTGGGATTGCTTCTGAGCAACTGGTTGCAAGCATGACCCTTAGGCATGGGGCTATAAAACCAGCCAAGAGAGGCTGTTAGGCATGGATTTATTTATTTATTTATTTATTTATTTTTATTGTTGACATTTTTACCCCACCCTCCCCGCGAGCGGGCTCAGGGCAGCTTACAAGACATATGATAGACACTAAACTACTGACTCTGCCTTGCCTGACTTCTGGCCCTCTGACCTTGGACTGACGACCTCTGCCTTGTTTTCTGTCAGTAAAAGGCAAGGGGAGATGACAGGACCCTTTCCAGGGCTGTTTTGGACTTTGAGGAAGGATTCATTAGAGCCAGGCCTAGCAGCAACCACTGGACAATTTAATACCACATGACATGTATGACTCACTCAGGTCCAGCTGCTTGCTACCATCCCCGGCTATTCAGAGCGGGTACAGGGTGGTCGCTATTGGGGGCTGACTATGAATTTCTTTCTTCTCCAACACATCTGGGCACAAGCACATGTGGAGATTTCACATACTCCACTTTGAAGATTACATGAGTGACTTCCCAGGTTCTAGTAGGTCAGTAGCCTTCAATTTTATCTGGTTGCTATATCATAGTGGGCAAAGAGTGTTAAAAGCTAATTATAACGTTTAGAGGAAGACCCTAAAGCATAATTTGAAGGATAGAGAGATACTTCCTCAAACTAGGACCTTGGGGTTTGCGAGCCTTTCATGGAACTGCAAAAGGAACCCCTGGACAGGAACCCCTTGGAGGGTGACATTATCCTTGATCTTCATGGCTAGGGAGAAGGGACATGGCACATCTCCCTAGAGCATCAATAAATGCTTGGCAAGGAGGAGGCTGAGCAGTATGCAATGTGACTACTCAGGGCTCAGAACCAGGGTGGCCTCTCCCAGAATAAAGGGATGAGCAGACAGAGGAGGCCTAACTCAGGGCAGTTCCCTGAGGCACTCAAGGAAGCAATGGTCTGCCCTCTCCTGAAAAAACTAACCTTGGGCCCGACCGAATTGGCCAACTATCGGCCGGTGTCCAATTTGCCCTATTTGGACAAATTAATCGAGAGCTACAGAGCTTCCTGGATGACGCTTCCATCCTAGATCCTCTCCAGTCTGGTTTTCGTCCAGGACATGGGATGGAGACAGTGCTGGTCGCCTTTACTGATGACCTCCGGAGGCACCTGGATCAAGGCAAAGTGGCGGCACTGTTTAGATCTGTCGGCTGCATTTGACACAGTCGACCACCAGTTGCTGACCACCGCCTTGCCGACGTGGGGATACAGAGGCTTGCCCTTCAATGGCTTGCCACTTTCCTCCAGGGTCGGGGATAAAGGGTGGCGCTAGGGGAGAAGCAGTCCCAAAGACACCTGCTTGAATGCAGCATGCCTCAGGGGGCGGTGCTCTCCCCAATGTTGTTTAGCATCTATATGTGCCCCCTTGCCCAGATTATCCGGAGGTATGGGCTTGGGTGTTATCAATATGCAGATGACACCCAACTCTATCTGATGTTGGGCGGCCGGTCGGACTCCAACCCAGAAGATCTGAACTGGGCTTTGCAAGCCATGGCTGGGTGGCTCAGACTGAGTCGGCTGAAGCTGAACCCAGTGAAGATGGAGGTCCTGTGCCTGAGTCGGGGTGGTTCAGGGTTGGGGATCCCTCTCCCAACCTTCAATGGGGCACCTTTGGTGCCAGCACCGGAGGTTAGGTGTCTGGGAGTGCTCCTGGATTCCTCCCTAACTACGGTGGCCCAGGTGGCAGCCACTGCCAGGTCAGCCTTTTACCATCTTAGGCTGATTCAGCAGTTGGTTCCCTTCCTGGACCACGGCGACCTGGCTACAGTGATCCATGCGACGGTCACCTCAAGGTTAGACTACTGTAACACTCTCTACATGGGGCTGCCTTTGTGGCAAATCTAAAAGCTGCAGCTAGTGCAGAATGCTGCAGCCAGGCTGCTGGTGGATCTCCCTAAATGGGAGCACATCCGGTGTGTGCTGAAAGCGCTGCACTGGCTGCCAATAGCGTACCGGGTTCGCTTTAAGCCCTATATGGCCAGGGTCTGACATACCTGAGGGACCACCTTTCCCTGAATATACCCCAAAGAGCACTATGGTCTGGGGCACAACATTGCCTAGTGATTCCAGGCCCCAGGGATGCCTGGCTCGCTGCAAACAGAGCCAAGGCCTACTCAGTGGCAGCTCCTACCTGGTGGAATGAGCTCCCGGAGGAGATTAGGGCCCTGTGGGACCTTGTACAGTTCTGCAGGGCCTGCAAGATGGAGCTCTTCCACCAGGCTTTCGACTAGGAGCCACCACTACCACCATCACCAACGAACCATCACCAACGATAACTGGGAACGGAGTGGCCCTATGACGATCGCACTTCAGTGGCACGGCAGATCTGTACCGTTGCACAGGGATGGAGGCAACATCTACTGGACACCATCTTGTCTTAACTTAAGGGCAACAGCATTGAGCACTTTATGTAATTTTGATATTTATTCTGTTTTATCCTGTTTTATTCGGTTTTATGTATTGGCACATGGTGCCCCTGAGCCCATTCATGGGGATGGCGGGGTGGAAATTTAAATAAATAAATAACTCTTCTGCATCCCATCACTTTCCCACATTGAGATTAGGTAGGGGCCGTATTCAGTCCTTGGCTGTTGCAGTTCCTTTTCTTGTAGATAAGATAAATTGATTATCCCAGGTCATGGTGTCAGCTCCTCTTATTCCATGTCTGTCTGTAATTAGGGAACTCGTTGGTCACATATCCAGGCTCCCATTGCCTTCCCGCTCCTTTGTTGTCTCTCCTATGTCAGACTCTAAATTGTAAGCTGCTTGGGCCAGCAACCTGGTCTTGTACAGTGCTAAATAAATAAATATCATTCGCTGTCATAACTAAAAAGGAAATCAGTGAAAGTAAAACTAGCCTCCCATCACCTCGCTCCCTTTCCTTCAGTAGCATATATGAACTAAATATCTGACATAGTGTCACTGTAGTGTGACCTTTACCACCTCCTCAAATGGCAGTCGATGAAGTGGAAAGAGTAGATCTGGTATGGGGAAAAATTTCAAGGTGACAATGCCATGTCACGTATTTTAGTTTGCCAGGTGTTATAAGAGAACAAAGAAGTGGATATACAAAACTGTTTCTTTCAGTAACCATCAATGCTGTCTCTCTCCATACTGTTAATTTCCCCTTCCTGGGAATATCTGGCTGGCTGCTGATGGAGGAACAATGCTGAGTTAGTTGGACCTTTGCTCTGACCCTGTAGGACATTTGCTATGGAATAGCCTATACATGGCTAGCTTCATTATGAACATATATGATAAAAAGACATAACAATTCAGAAAAAAAAACATTTGGTAGGAAGAGTCAAGAGAAGGGCATTGACTGAAGAAGGCATCTGAATGTCTAATGGTTAAAGATGTAAAAAAAACCCAACGAAGTGGTAACAGCAGGTAATATCTGCTGTCCCAGTCTCTCATCTTTTTTCCAGCTTTCTTTTCTATTCCTTTCACCTTGGGTTTCTTGAAATTGCCTAAAAAGAATTGAGAGGAGAACAACAATTATGAGAATTCCTCTTTGTCTGCTATTCTGTCTCTTGGCTTTTCTGACTACAGCTTACCTGGAAGAGGATGTATCTCGTGCACCTCTCTGTTTCCTTTCCACTCATCATTTTGGGACAAGAAATAAAACAGTTTGTTTCAATATTGAATTGAAATATTGCGATCAAATGTTCTTGGGTGTCAAATGCTAATGTAAACTATTTGTCAAGTAGTCAGAAAATATTTGGTGAACACACAGCATCAGAAGCCATAGAGAATTTTGAGGATAATTTTTTGAGCCCTTTCATTTCTACTCCAGTATAGATAAGCTGAACTTGAATGGAAGCAGAAAGTGAGTCACAAGTTTACGTTATGTGAAGAAAAGAAGATAACTATATAGAAGGGGCTGTTGATCATATGGTTACCCACATGTGCCTAAAATGAAAGCATAAAGGGCAGCATTTGGGTTAAACTTCAGGCCACAGCTTTATTGGTTCCATGTCTGATCTGCAACATGCTTAGGAAATTTTAACAGACCTCCCTTTTCCTCAGTGCAGGCACTTCCACATTAAATAAGCACATTTGGATGGGCAGCATGAGGCTGCTCTGCCTACCCTCCTTTGCAGCAGAGGAAAATAAGCCTCATCCTAAATCAGCGTGAGGTGTGCTGAGAAATGCTGTTGTGGTACAGAGCATGCAATCACATGGGGAGCTTGTCACTTATTTCATAACACTAGAGGAATGCAAATTTAACCGTGCACAAAACTTTCCTGATCAGCAACAACTGAGAATTATATTGCACATGATTACACACCAGGAAATTACTGGGTTTTATCTGGAATGAACTAAAAGGTCTTCCCTTTATATACTTTTTTATTCTGATGCAGGGCACCTCAGCATTTTTTTTTAAAGAACTTCTCAGTTTATGAAACACTGATGGCTTGACAATGTGCCATTTTTAGTGACAGTAACTTGGCTTAGGGATACATTGGAGGTGGAGAAGTAGGTATAATTCCAGTAAGATTTTTAACATTTTTATTACAACATTTAAAAAGAACAATGTCATCATTTTGAATACATTTTTCCTGCCTTCAGGAAGAAGTGTCTGTGCAGGGAGGAACAGGGAGATGATTGGGAAGTCATTGTGCTGTATATCACTATTCCTCTTAGGCCCTGAAAAACCTGTATAAGCCATGTGGAAAATATTGCAAAACAAGTTCCACTATGTTTGATAAATAATACAGGCAGAACCTAGGGATAGGAGCTGTATAAAGCTTAATACAATTGGAATGCATAGCACAGAAAAGTGGGGGAAATGCAAGATTACAGCTGTTTGTCCAGCAGCAGAAAGATTTCTTTTCCATATAATTTTTTTATTAATGTTTTTACTCAGTAATAACAACAGCCTATAGTGGCAGAGAAACCAGAGTAATAATTAACAAAAGTAAAACAACAACAACAACTAAGACTTCCAAGTCATTCATAAGAGGCTTTTAAAAAAACAACAAATTCTGGTAATGATTGCTTGGAATATACCCCCCTTCAGCTAAATATTTGACTACTGGGAACCACAACTTTTGTTCTGCTGGCAAGGTTCCAAAGTTAATGCTGCATTTTGTGAGGAGATTTTCCCTAGGAGGAATTGCTCCCAAAGCTTATTTTGCCAATCCACTAAAGAGGGTGTTGCAGCCTCCTTCCATTTTTTCACTATCGTGGTCCTAGCTATAGCGATTAAGGTATTGATTAATCTTGTTTTTGTTGTATTCCCAGTTGGATCAGACTAGGAGTTGAGCAAGAGAACCTCCAGGAGATAAGTCATGTTGATTTCAGATATAATTTTGACTTCTGCAATAATTTGGTTCCAAAATTGACGTATCTTTGGGCATTGCCATCAGCAATGTAAAAAAATCACCAATGTGACCACAGTTCTTCCGGCAATATTTGCTACATTCCGGCTTTATCCTACGCAGGCGGGCTAGAGTCAAATACCAGTGATTCAATACTTTAAAGGTGTTAAATGTTATAGAGAATATTTGGGAGGAATTATTTGGTGACTTCCAAATGACGTCCCACCATTTTGTTTTCAATCCGCTGGGCTGCGGTATTCTATATCACAGTTGTAAAGAGCTCTATTACTGTTTTGTTGGTGTTGGTTGCCATTTTATTTTTGGCAGAGTCAGTTTTCCCCATCCTCTGGAAAAATTACGGCCGTTCAGAGTGTTTTAATGCCATGGGGGAGTCAGCAGGGTCAGGAGCAACAGAGTCAAGTGTCTGCCATGATCTGCTGTGGCGCCCCACCCCCCAGCAGAAAGATTTTTAACCTCCAAATCAATGCATGTTAAAAAGTATATCCTTTTCTGAACTTAGTCTTTAGTCTCTCTCTGAATCCCATATGATCATTTTAAACTGCTTGATTTTATCTACCCTCACCATGTGTTCACCCCATGGTTGATCGATCAGACACAGCGGCTACAGAGTGGGGCAGTTGGGCAACTTTTTGAAATTATTTATTTGTGTTCTGAGAATGCGCATAAGCAGTTATGGGAAGCAAGGCTTCAAACTCCTGGCAGGATGGCAGCAGCTGGTGGGCTGTGGGATTACTTGAGGAGGCTGCTGGGATATATAGTGCAGTGTGGGGGATGTGTTTTTAAAACTGTGCTTTTGAAAAATTCAATGTTTCAAATGTTTCAAAGCTGGGGGTAGAGAATAGAGAAGCCTCATCCTGTGTCTTGTTTGCTGCTGGCATTTTTATTTAAAAGCTTGGAGCGAAGCTGGAGTCACAGGCTGCCCCCCCCAAAAAACCCTAATTTTTTTGGTAAAATTATTACTTTATAAAACAAACAAAATACAAACAAACATACATACATAAATTGGGGGTTCCCATACATCACTGAATTATCTATTTAAGAACCTCATAGATTGTATTTATCTTCTAAATTCAAGTTATGTTTTTATATATATATATCTTTTGCATACAGTTAAAACAAAAGTTCTTAGTTTCTTCTAGACTGGTTGTGCATCCAATGTGTTCTTCAAATCATCTGTAGAATTAGCTGTTGTAGATTCTCTGGGTTGTATGGCTGTGGTCTTGGCATTGTAGGACCTGACATTTCTCTAGTAGCTGTGACTGGCATCCTCAGAGGTATAACACAAAAAGATGGAGTATTCTCTGTGTCAAGGTGAGAAGAAAAATGGTAGGCAGGTAATTTATATCTACTCAGGAAGGTGAGGCAGGGCTTAGTCATTATCTTGTAGGAGTTCACCCTTCCATTTTTTCACTATCGTGGTCCTAGCTATAGCGATTAAGGTATTGATTAATCTTGTTTTTGTTGTATTCCCAGTTGGATCAGACTAGGAGTCGAGCAAGAGAACCTCCAGGAGATAAAGTATGTTGATTTCAGATATAATTTTGACTTTAATAGCATATATAGGGAAAGTCTAAAATAGTAGAAAATAAGAAAATGTATATTTATGTATTTGCAAACTTTATATACTCCTGCCAACCTAACAGTTTGAAAGCAAGAAATTGCAAGTAGATAAATAGGTACCACTTCGGTGGGAAGGTAACAGCGTTCCGTGCACCTTGGTGTTTAGTCATGCCAGCCACATGACCACGGAAACATCTTCGGACAGCACTGGCTCTTCGGCTTTGAAATGGAGATGAGCACTGCAACCCTAGAGTCGAACTTGACTGGCTTTCAAGCAAGGGAACCTTTACCTTTACTTTAAACTTTATATAATCATTGATGGTGGAAAAATGAGATAGATTTAAGCCTTGTATGAGGTACTCTGATAGAGAAAAGACCAATATGAATTATTGTATCCCATTACATGTTTGTTTTTTCTGGAAAATAAAAATGTTGATTAAAATAAAAAAAGAAATTCTAATCTTATCTGTAGTGCTATTGTCAGATGTAGAGCCTTTGCGAATTGTCCCTGTCAACAACACCGATGAAGCATATCACCATGAGTACTTCTTAAAGCAACTTTATCTGAAACTCTAATGTCAACCCTTTCAACTTTAACAAAGATTGGAAGGGAGGGAGGAAGATCTTCCTTCCCCGGGCCCCCTTCCCTTAATTGTGGCTATAAAAAGGATTTAAACTAAACTACATAAATAATCTACTGGGCAAAGAAAACAAGAAAGCACACTGTCTAATTGATATCTTCAAAATGTCTTTTCTTTTTGTCTTCAAAATGATATCTTTTCAATGACTCTGAACTTAGTGGAGCATAATAAATCTTCTTGTCCCCTGTATGAAGACTTTGAAATAAACAGCGAACTTCGGGATTTGTTATAACTTAATATTTCAATTATAAAGGCTGATATTTTAAATGGATCTTATTCTGAATTTTTTAAGATGTATCTAATTCCCAAATGTGTACTTTTACTGAAACTGTAAAACTCCACTTTCTTATGACTTTATTGCTTTGGAATATAACACTGATAAGCTTTCCGCCTTATGTTAGCTTTCTCTAGTCTATAATAGCTGTTGACACATACTGTCTAAAGCTGTTATCTCTGTAAAACCCAGCTTGGGAAAACATCTGTAGAGACTGTTTTGTTTCAATACAACTTTGGAAAAAGTCTTCTCAAGACAGACTACAAATGTCCTCAGAAGCTTTACTGTCAGCTATACCAGGCTCTATGGACAATAAATCTATTCAGGCTTCCTTGGAAGATTTTTTGAATATGGTCCAAAATATTCTCGTGGTCATCATAAAAGAGGCAATTCAAGAAACTTTTCTTGCAGTGCAGACAGAAATTCAGTTATGAACACAACAATTTAAAGCCATGAGAGAAGTAACATGGAAAGAGGAGAACAGCTTTGACTGCCCTGCAAACACAGAAGAAATCTGCAAGCTAGATCTTTGAACCTATAACAAAGAATGTATGCCTACGAGATATACAACTCTCTTATTTCCTGTTGAAATTGTGTTTATGAGCCTTCGACAACACATCTGTAGAATCTTAACCGTGTGTCTTCAGAGCTTTAATCAGTCTGTCCTCTCTTTTCTGCAATTTGTTTTATCAATTATTTTTTTTATATTGCAGATATCTTACATCTTCTTAGATTTTATATAATTTTGAGTTTATATTGTCTATTATTGCTTAAGAGTATTTCATATCTTCTTCTTTATCAGTACCAGTCCAGTTCTTTCTTTTATGTCTTTGAGTTTTATTCTTGCTCTCCTGTTCTGCCATGTGAATTGTATCTTCATTGTTGCATGCTCTTTAAGGTATTTTTTGCTTTTGAAACATTGGAGTTATTAGGAATGAAAAATCAATCTCATTGTAGATTTCTTCTGGATTTTTTGTACCCATATATTCTGTTGTTGCGTGGATCATTGTTGATTTTGAAATTTTAATATGTACACTGTTTTGTCAAGTTCCTTGAAGTTCTGTTTGGTTTTTACTGTTTCAAATTTAAAATCTGGTTCTTCTGATTTCTTTTCCAACTTGTCTGTAATTGTGGTCACAACAGCAGTGTCTTGTTTCTGGTCTTCTTTCATCTGGGGTTCCATTTTCTGGACAAGTATGTCTAGTTTTTCTTGAATAGGATTCATAGCTGCTTTTACTGCTGTTATTACAGCTAAAGTTATTGTCACTTGGATTACAGTCTGTAAATCTGCTAAATCAATACTTACAGATTTGATTATGCCTGGAGATGGCACCCCAGGAACCATTTTTAAATATTACACACAGAGAATCTCACTGAAAATTGTTTTTCAATACAAGCCTGTAAGTACAATCAGTTTTCCCAAATTTGCAAAACAGTTATTAATGCTATTACTGATTGGCTTTCGAGCAAGGGAACATTTACCCTTTTTTTACTCTGATATTATAGTCACAATACTCAACATAAGCTCCGATATTATAGTCACAATACTCAACATAATACTCAACAGTAGCATATCTTATCAGCTCTTTACCAAACAGTCAGTACAAGCAGAGACATTAAATTACATTACCAGATTTATCTATGTTACAAGGAAGTGATGTGTTGAAAGTGAAACTTAATTTTAAATAGTTAATATTTTAACCATATTTCTTCTTTCTTGTTTAATTTGTAATCCAAAGCAATTAAAATAGGATCAATTGTAATCCACAAATGAATCTCCTTATAGTTCCAAATAATGTAATTCCATTAAAAAAGGGATCCAAATGAGAGAACAAACTTCAGTAAATTAGATCGTATTCCAATAAAACAAGATTTTAAAATATATATATTTGTAATCCACAATATGATATTTTATAGTTGATAGTCAAAGTCAACCATCTCTTCTTTGGCCCAGTTTAAAAGGTTTCTTCTTAGCTCTCTTCCCAGCTGCTTGAATGGAGGGGGGGAGATTTCCTTTACCCCTCCCTTTCTTTGGATTTTAACATGAAAGATTTAAAAGGCTCAGTCTATAGTTGATTCTTTAATCTTGATGCATTTAAAGTTACTCATGGTGTTGATTTTCTTGGATATGTTGGATGAGGTCTGTTGTTTTTCCCCTCTTTCATCCAGAAGTCACAGCTATTTACCCATGGCTGCCATGGGTGAGCTCACACAGGATTTGCTTTGGGACGATCTGGACTACCACCCACTTGCCGTCGCTTGCGGGGAGTCCAGGTCAAGACCCCTGCTTGAGCTCCTCTCTGGAGAGCCCAATGGAGTTTGGAAGAGCCTGAACTCCACTAAAAGTCCTGGCGATCTGGTGCTCTACATGGGAGTAAGTCCCAGAGCGCACCATCCTCATGGCACTGAAACTGGAAACTCAAAACCCTCATATTTTCAAGTAACCCCTTCCCCACCCCATGTGCTGCAAAGCACAGAAAAAAGCTGAAATACAGAGGCATCTTTCTTTGGAAGGTTTTTTTTTAAAGAAAACACAGTTTTGAGAAGCTCTTGTGGGGGGGGGAGTGGATATGCAGTTATGCGCACCTTGCTAACTTCCTTTAAAAAAGCCCCAAACCAGAAGGGAACGTTCAGACTTCCCAAATGGCTTGAAAATTTACTGGATTGATCAGACTTCTGGAGATGCGAGATGAGACCACTGACACCAGGAAGGACTGGACTTCCCCCAGTGTCTAATAATTCCAGCTCGAAGACAAGTGAGAACAGAGTGCTCACAACTGGGGAACAGAAAACAGATGTTGCTGTCTGGACGTACGTTTCAAATCTAGAAGGGAACAATAACGACACCAGATCAAACAGCACATCTGATCGCAGCCACAGAGAATCAGAACAAATCCATTAACTAAAGTAGGTGATATATGCAGATTAAAGTCTAGATTGGACAGCTTCATAAACAGATGGTATATTCAGCTGAAGAAATACCCAAGTGTTAGAGCTAGCTAGCAACCAAAGCTTCCTACCAGACATAAATAAACTAGAAATTTGGGCATGTTTTATAATCTGCTGGTCAACATTTCAGCTCAGCTCTAGTGAGCAAGGACTTCCTAAGTAATAGCAGAGCTATGGATAAAAGTTTTGCCAAAGGCCTGGCTTTTAGAAATCATAAAAAAGGGACTCCAATTTACTAGCAACAGAATAATTTTAGGTAAGAGCATTTGAATCAACTTGGCATATGTTGTCTTTAATATAAATGCACCATTTTAACCTTGGTGTAACCTTTGTGAGCCTGGATAGTGCTGCTAGCTTAGGTGGTCTCCTTGGGTTGCTAATTCTTTCTCACCATCTAGATTCATTTAATAAAAACAAACCCATGTGGGCAGTTGAAGGAAAGACACTTAAATTATTCAGCAGTGAAAAGCCCTTATAGATGTTTTGAAAAAAAGAATAGAATGGATTGACAAGCTGATTTCTGGAGAGGCCCAGCTGCAGTAGCTGTACTAATCAGGCAAGAGCCACCATCGGTGATTTGCTAAAATGGAAAGATTTTAACCTTGGAAAAAACGAAATCCTTTTCTTCAGAGGGCAAGAGGACATAAGTACTGATTGTATTGCTGTCAACATACATTGTGCACCTTAGTTTCAATTTATACTTAAAAAAACCTCCAAATCACCTTACAGATTCCATTTTCCACAGACCCAGGCTGTGGACACTGCAATACAAAGAAAATTCATTTCAGTTCCCCCACCCCTGCCCTTTTGAACTATAAATAGTTATCATGTCATTTGCAAGTACTCTGTGGTCAAACAAACAAATTAACTATTATAGTGGCCTCTCATTATCTGGGCTCCTTTACTTCCATCAAGAAAAGTGAATCATGTAATAGTTTCCTGAAACAAAAATTAAATGACAAGACAGTCCTGTATTCTTTTCCAGGATGTAGACAGAATGGTCAGGTTTAAGGGCTTCTGCACAGCAGTGTCAAATTGGTAACTGCTCTGCTGAGAACTTTATGTGTTTGCAAATGAGGGCTGGAAAAGCTTTTC